CCTTTTGAACTGATGAGGGCTAAGCTTCGATGAACGATTGTTTTTCTTTCCCGAGTGAATTATCATGTGGTGCGTGCCTTACCGCTGTTTCTGTATATTTTGATTGTTTTCACCTGTCAAGAACAGTAGTGTAGCAAGTATTGCTATACCTCAGTATGTAGAATATACATGCATCAAAACTACAATTGCTGAAGTATTTTTGTCATCCAGCATAATACTGTATCAGGTGGAGCACAATCCGGCCTTCCTTAAACTCTTTGTTATAGTGGTCGGACATTACAACTTCCACACGTGGAGACTATTTGCTGTACTCACATGTCTATGGTCTATTGGGAAGGCACATGTAATTGCAAAGTTTTCAGACGTACTCTTGTTTGAATATACATTCTTGTTTCACTCCGTCATGGCTTATAACGACTTATTTTCACTATGTGGTAAAATGTAGGTCCATGTGTTTCATATCACATACTACTACTGCTCATAACTCCATACAAACAAAACATAACAACTTCTTCTTTTAAGTCCGATAAAACACAAAGAGTTAAACTGAGAAAAAAGGATGGCGTTAGTTTCTTTTGTGTGGACAAGCTAGCACGATCATAATTGTCTACAAGGTTGTTATCCACAGGGTCCTTGCCATAAACAAAAACCTTTACCTATACAAACTAAAGGTGCATTCACTGTTAAACACGTAAACCACATAGGTAGATAGACACAGTTATCTTCAAAATATCTGAAAGATCTATCCTACTGATAGACACACTGGAAAAGTACACGTGTGTGTTATAACATTTCCCGAAGTTTTCAAAGACGAACTGTTAGAATTTTCTATTTATAGCTGTGTGATAACATAACCACCTTCAAATGGCTGTCTCCCCATCCATCATTACAATTGCAAAATGTGTCATATGTATTCCACCCAATTGTTCACGTATATGTCCTGGATTTCAATGATGTTTTAATACATAATCTTCCTTTCTACTTGATTATTTTGACATGATGTGCCTTACGATACCGTTCTTGTTCCACAAATACCTTCTATTGATTCATTTCGCTTCAACAACCAAATCTTCATGTGGTAGTAAAGCGCGACTAACGGGATCGGGTAGTCAATTACTGGAATGTCTGGTCCAGACGCGATTATTTACAGATCGCCGCTATGTAGCTGGAATATTGCTGAGTGCGGCGTGAAACAACAATCAATCAGTCATTGTACAACAGAAATATTGTTTAAAGAACGAAACACAATTGCCTCCCTCATTTCTGGTACTTACCCGTGAAAGTCCGGTTTAGAATATTGGACTTCTGTAACCCATGCTTGTCGTAAGAGGCGATTAACGGGATTGGGTAGTCAGGCTGGCTGACTTGGTTGACACATGTCATCGGTTCCCAATCGCCCATGCTGTTGATCACTGGATTGTCTGGTCCAGACTCGATTATTTCCAGATCGCCGCCTTGTAGGTGGAAAATTGCTGAGTGCGGCGTTTAACTTCACTCACTCATTACGGCTACTGCCTCCCTGTCTGTGTTTCATATATCTTTGTCTGTGACGTGTACCACCACTAAAGCGGGTTACGCTTACATCATTACCTTTCGATATTGATTCAGGAAGACATGGTCATGTTATAGTATAATTCCAAAGATTCCTTGTCAATCTAGAATGCATTTGTTGCTAATATTCTGTTCATCAATTCGATAGTAAACCAACGCTGTAGTTTTCAAACAAACTTTAGCTGACTGAAATAAGAGAGTGGCAGTGGATATAATTCGCTGTGCGTGAGAATTACTACAATAATCTATCGTTGCTAGTTTAAAAGAATACACGAGAAATCAGAACTGCATGGGGTTCTGAAATTTTATTGACATTCCAAAAGGTACGTGATAACACACAGTTTTGACAAATGCATTGATATTCTTTAGAGAGATAAGAGTTGAATGAATCAAAATGCATGTATAAGATTAAATCAGCAGAGAACAAGCCAAAACCAAGAAAACGAATCACCTCTAGATTGTGTAGAAAAACAGTGAAACTAAGTAATAATAAAAATCAAATCAGCAATATAAATGTACAACAAACCAGGCTGCAATAAAAACACCTCTAGATAAACAAAAGAATATGACACAAATATGATTACATAAACTACAAATGGTATTACAGCCAATATTGAAGCATACAAATATACTGAGTCAAAAAAAACCTTCACATTCTTTCTTCAGGGCACTATAAAAAGAACAAGAGATGGTAAGATGGTTAAATTGTTATAAATTTATTGCTAAGATCTGTGTGATGTTCTCGATACACTGACAGTGCCATAATCAGTTCCATTAGGCTACACCGCCGTTCCAAATATCGGTATACAGAATGTCAAGTCACAAGAATAAAAATGCGAACTTTCTCAGTTCAATATCGTGTATGGCCGCCCAACGCATTCACCACGGCCAAACACCGTCTCCTCATCGACTGCCTGATGCTTGTGAACACATGGTTGAGGATTCTGTGCCATTGCTCTTGCAAGCAGAGCCAAGTTCCTGCAAATTCTGAGGTTGGTTCCTAACACCACGAGGCCTTCTCCCAAGTGCATCCCAAACGTGCTCTATTGGATTAAGGTCAAGGGACCTCGATGGCCAGTCCATGACGTTGATTCCAGCGTTTTGAAGGAAATTTCGTGTCAACATCGCGGTATGCGGCCGAGCATTATCATGCTGGAACTGTAGACCTGGGCCATGAGCCGCCATGAAAGGAACGAGTTCAGGGGTGAGCACCTGGTCGCGGTAAGCAGCAGCTGTGAGGTTTCCACGGATGACCAGAAGTCGGGAACGGTTGTTCCCACAGAAAGCACCCCGCACCATGCAACTTCCGCCCCCCGAATCTATCGACTTCCTGTACACAACATTGGGCATACCGTTCACGACGTCGTCTCCAGACTCTATGCCTGCCGTCCTCGAATCTGAGGGTAAACATGGTTTCATCGCTAAAGACGACTCGATTCCAGTCTCTCTGGGTCCATCGGAGGTGACGTTGGGCCCACAGCAGACGTTGACGTTGATGAAACGGCGTCAATATTGGCCCTCGATATTGACGTCGAGAATGGAGCTTGGCAGCCCGCAACCGATTTCGAATGGTCTGTGAGGACAGTCGACCTCTAAACATCTCAGCCCTGGTTCGTGTAGCCGGCAGAAATCTGTCACGTAGGTGACGTAGGACGATTTGACAGTCTTCTGCTCGTGACGTCACACGTGAACGACCCAACCTTGGGCGAACAGAAGTGGTGCCAGCTTGTTGTAGATGACCTCGCAAGTCATACACAGTACGACGGCGGCATCCCATTGCTCTTGCGACGTCAATAACTGATCTTCCCGCTTGCAACATGCCAATGGCACGTTCACGTTGCACATTTGATAATCGTGGCATTTCAAGTACCGTTAGAACTGTGGTTTAAAAGTGGTTTTTTTTCAATTCTTGAGGCCAATGCATATGAAGAAAACTTCTATGTGAAGATCACGTGATCGACTGCACGTGTAAAACCTGATTTGGCACTTACGTCATTTGCACGACGAATGGATTGGTTTGAGTGGGTTTTGCTAACGTTTTTTCTAGAGTCGAAAGATAGGGATCCCATTTCGGGTACATAGATGTATCATCAGAGAAAATATTATTCATTATTTGTCAAATTACATTTTGTGAAGTTTCTTTTTGGACTCAGTATAGATATTGCCGTAGGTTTCAGAATAATTAGTTTCACGTTCATATACATGAACATCAAGAAAGTTCACCAGACTTTAAGGCCACATTTACCTTTACGTGTACCAGTAGCTGCATTGAATTTACTGTGGTTAGTACTTGTACAGTGGTCTGCAAAAATGGCACCGCAATATACAAACGGGCAAAACATCGCGAGTTGACCATGCTCTATGAGGACATTCAGAACTCTTATTATATAAAAAAGAATATACTTTGAAAGAAGTGGTCTCGTGTATCATATTGATGAAACAGTCATTTTACACTACTTTAGTCCACTTCAAGACTATAGCCACCGATATTATCAGTTATCAAGTTCCACTAAATCTAAAAAGGTATTTTATTTCATGTGAAACATATAAAACCAATTATACAATGTTTTATAGCACACACAAAGCACATTATTTAAACATGTTCACAAATTAAGTAAGATAAATGTTCATGACTCATGAGCAGTTTCTCATCGATGACAACAGGTTACACAATCATAGATTCTCAGTTGGCGTCACGGTAAATATCACCATCTAAATACATGTGATCAATGGAATACACATCTAGATAGGCTACAATAAAGCATATCATGCAATATATGTCCGTATTTACAATTCACTGTACTGGCTCGTGTCTTGCTTCAGTGTTCCGACATAACTTGTAATGAACAAGAAACATATATATTGCCAAAAATTGCCAAAGCTGCTTGGTTTCATTACACGACCTACACTATGCAAAACAAAAGTTATGTGTGACTATGAGACATTATAAACTGATTAGAGCTAGGACTGACAGACTAGGTTTGGTTTTACGCCCCTTTTAGCAATATTCTAGCAATATCATGGCGGGGGGCACCAGAAATGGGCTTCACTCATTGTACCCATGAAGGAAAGAGGTAGGATATGAAATGAAATAGTTTAGTGACATATTATAACTAAATGTTCATGTTGCATCTACGGTATCTCACCCATGTGTTGGTGACGACAGCAACTTATGCATTCACACATGTGCATGCAGTTGCACTTCTGGGACATATCACCAACTGTATATAAGGTAGATGGAAGGCTCAACTATGCATGCTCCAATAAGTTCATGGAGTACAGGTAAATATCAACAACTCATTGTACAGATGATGTCTATTGTGGTATCTACTGCAGTGTCAGTCTCGGATAGGACGTCTAGGATAAGGTAAGGCGTCTGTAAGATTGATTCAGTGTTCATATTAATTCAATTTTTATTGTAATGGAGATCTCACGTTGCTTCCTATCAATACTTGCCTATATTTCGCTCAGAGTGATTCATTTAGACTGCGTCTGTCTTTGAATGACAAACTTTAACATGCTTCAATGTGACGGACTCAGTCCAACCAAAATGACCCTGAAAGATCACTGGTTTAAATGACCATAGCATAGCTCAGCCTGAGGCCATTTCCATCCACTCATCAAAGGGCAACCTGACAAATGCTTGATAGTGGTTTTGGCCCATGGATTTGTTTTCAACTCTGAAGGAAGCTGGACCTAAAGCATCAGTGAACACACATCCATTGACAGGTCTCACCGCGACCTCAATGATGCCGGAGTTTGTTCCAGTATCATGGATTCTTATTTGGAACACATCTTTCGGCTTTAAAGCAATATCTGAATATTTGTTCTTGAAAACACATATTTTTTTCTGTAGTTCTTCTTCAAGCATGCTCTGCATTTCGTGTTTCCTCCCTTGCTTTGGAAACGGTATTCCATCCATATCAACTTTGTTGTCGTTACTTGTCCGGCCAACATACACAGACCCACCCTGCTTTCTCTTGGAAATGGATGTGACATATTCCGGTAAAGAAGAAGTGAAGATATGATCCACCCAGGCGCTTACAGAGAAGAAAGATGCAACTATTGAATGGTAGAAAAGGGTGTCATCAGTTCTGCCAACATAGACCTTCACAGCATTAGCTTGGCTCATGTGAGGCAACCCCTGTATAGTGGGCTCTGTCTTTGGTACTTTGCGTGAGGACAGCAGGAGTGGCTTTAATTTATCAAAGGATGCACATACTTGTCTATTTGCACACCAAGCAACCAGCTTTGTTTTCATGTCGACAGTTATAAACGTCTCGGATGGCAAGACATCTATTTTGTACACTCGCCCCCCTTCACTCTCTAAATGATGCCATCTGAAGCCATCTGACATTATCTCGTCGTCATTTAACATTGTGCCCAATACTGGGACAACAGTCGATTGGAATACATCCTTAACTGGTCTGGATATACTTTTACAATGATGCACAAACAGTGCACCACCACCTGAATTTCTCATTGAAGATAAAGCCTTCTTGAACTGATACTCCGCAGATGGTTTCATTCCCTGTGTGTTTCTGTCAATCTGTGTTTGGTGTAGGTGAATGAAAAATACATTATCCTCTGTTCCCATGTGATAATTTGCATCCCAGCAAACCCGGATGCATCTTTTACAGTCATCTGAAACAAAAACCTGATTTTTACCAGTAGGTCAGTATGTGTTATCATTACAGTTACACCGCACAGAGTATTATTTTGAGTACACATGTTTATATTTCCATAGGTAGCACTGACTGAATCGATGTTGACATCACCAAAGTAAATGTGAAATACTATGATTAAAATCTGACATGTGAGTAGATATTATGATAGGAAAGCTCTAAAGGTTAGGATGTAGTAAACTACTTACACAACTTTACTGCAGAGGTCGGCAGTGGATGGAGACGGAGAGCTGCAATAGTCAGTTTTATCTGCTAGTACGAGTACGCAAGTGACACAAATACGCGTATCCATAAAAAGAGTGTTTTGATCACACCCGGGTCTTCAGCGTTTAACGACTAGGCTACCCCACCGCCCTAGTTGTACATGAAACGGACAGCATCAACTATTATTATGATTGCGGATATATTAACACATCACATTAACGGGGCGACGCTAATTGCCAGATACATTATTCATATCGAAAAACTGACAAAGTTTGTTACAGATGAACACAAGCATGGCTGACCGTGCTCTCACTGAAGACATATAGTTGTCAAAAGCAACACAAAATGAATCAGCGACCTTAAAGGCAATTATACTCAAAAAGCGCACTTTGCAGCTTTGAATTCGTTACAGCATACTGAATCACAATGGATTACAAATTCTATTTATGAAATAATAAAACGACTTGCCTGTCGTCCCCAAAACGACAAAATCGTGCCTCCGGAGCAATTTCCCATACACTACTAACTGGTGAATTTCCCATCAAATCTAATGACTATATAGTGGTTTTCACTTCAAGCGTAAAACGTTGCGATAAGTGAGTGAATTTGTTTTCTTTGATTTGGGCTATACCAAACATATCTGTCCAGAAAGAGTCTTCCATTGGGCCATTGACTAAGATTAACATCAATCGTAGGGCCGACATGATTAATACCAAACGCCAAACCTTTGCTTGTTGGACTTTTGCGAAAAAAGATGACATGACTTTATGACGAATCATAATCGTATGTCACTGACGGATAGGTCGACGCAAAAAAGGATCACCCAAGGTGTTAAATCAAAACTTTTCAAATTCATTGAGTCGCTGCAGACTGAGTTCGCTAATGCACTTGTTATTGTACTTCGTTCTTGAGAAACCACTTCACGCAAGAGAAACCATGTCTTTAAGAGGGATAAGGGACAACAAGTGAACCATTATCACAGTGCTGTTTTACTTTTGGTTGGAAGACACGAAAAAAATGTTCTGTTACAGAATCTTTGTATTTTTGAGTTGCAAATCTATATCTATGTGTTTCAAGGACACCCTGGTCCCTATTGTGTTTGGCATGACCACACCATCTATAAACAAACATGATGGAGATTTTACCCTCGACAATCGTTGTTCCAAAACAGGATAGAAGCTATTTACAAGTTGTTAATCGTCACTTCAGTTACTCACAACATACGACCAAAGGTGACGTTTCAGGCAAACATCAATGTGTACAATTATTTTAGTTTTGGAGGGCGTAACAGACACTGTAAAACCAGTACACATGTACTATTGTATATATATAGCTGCGAAGAATCGCATGAAAGGGTTTTCCTTGCACCGCTGCGCTAGTACCTTTAGGGCATGCCCCCAAATATATTAGTTTTGATGGTTTATCACTAAAATTGACCACATGTAACAAGAAAAATTGTCATTGATTTACTTGCCCTTCAAAGACTATTTTTGACTACTATTTACGAACAGAACATAAAGTTAACCACAGTATCTCAAGCGGACAGTTAACTATTAACATTAATATCAGCAATATCAAACAATATAATTTAAATTGAATTTTATTAGCGTCTCAAATGTAACGATGAACACAGTTCTTCATTCGAAATGTTAAAGTAAGTATGCTCATTGCGATGCCATATATTTCCATACTATTTCGACAATAATAAATGACTTAATTAAAGTTAGAGCATACGGAATCGGTGTGTTAGTATGAGATAATGTCTATTTACCTGAACGTGCAAGGCTCTCCAGTGATATGAAGTGCCCTTTTCTCTGTTCACGGTAGACACCATTGCAAAAGGTACACTCTGTAATGAATCGAATACACTTGCGTCATTATGTTATTATATGTATGTATTATCTGTCGTGTCGTATACGAATTTATAGAGTCAACAGCGTCAATATCGGGTAGAATGTCATGATGCAAAAGTGCATTTCAAAAGTGAAAATTGCGCCTTTTCATTTCTGTTTTCTTTTCTAATTTGTACGATGTCATTAAAGCGCTTTATCTTACATGTTAATGTGGGTCCTGTACCTTTCATCAGTTATTGACATTTTGCTTAAATATCAAATTTATGGCAAACTAAAAGAAAATTATGACCTTTGAATTACTGGGTTTATTAGCGGCCCTTGACGTCTGTGAACCAGACCAGAAACAGATGGCCAAGCAGTCTTAATGGCCATATAAATAAGATGGACTAATTACAAAAAAATCATAATTTCCTACATGGCCATATCTAAAAAAGGTCAAGTATATATCATAATACGTTTTAACATATTTCTTTATGAAATAAACTTGATCTGCCCTTGTTACCACCTCCGGGTTCAGCTTCGGTCAACGTTCATTTCAACTGTTGTGCAGTCCGTGGTAAAAGTCATGATAAACTTTCTAACGACACCAAAACGAAGCTACTAGGAGATAGAAGGCACTGTCAGAAACTAAGTTCTTTCATTGAAATGTTCAATCATCTGTTACCGGGTTATCTTTGCGACTTGATTCCAAGATTTGTTTCCGAAAGTACAAACTACATCCTAAACAACAATTCTGGAGTACGAGGTATTTAGTGTAGGACTGCTACTTATGCCATATCGTTTCCACCTGACACAAACCACTTATATAATTGTCTAACTAATAATTAGAAAGCGTTCTATACACTCTCTGTATTTAAAAAAAAATTATAACAAGATTTAACAACAAAACAAGATTTTCCTTAAATTTTGGATCTCGATTCTGTCAAATTGTGCACTGCCGCTTTAGACTCGGTTGCAGTGACCTCAACGCTAACATGCACATTAGACCGGCCAGATTGCTCCTGCAGATATCACACAGAAAACCTTCTACACTATTTCTTCACGTGTGTAATGTTTACAAGCTGGAAATACTTATGAATGGAAACGAATATTTGTCTGCTTCTGAAAATATGAACATTCTTAAATCAATCCACAATTTTATCACAACACCAAAATACCAGTGTGACTTGAATTTTATACAGGGAAATGTATTTCTGATTAATCTGTCTTGTATGGGAGCTGAGTTGATATGCGTTATAACAGCTTGTGCACCTTCCTGAAATAAGGAAGTGACGGGTTGCCAAAGGGTATCGTACGCGTGGTTGACGGGTTCCACATAGTTAAATAACGCGGAGGAAACGTGTTGTAAATAAGGGAAATCAAGTCAATGCCACTACCATATATATATATATGTGTGTGTGTGTGTCTGTGTGTGTGTGTATGCAGACATCTACAAAAAGCATCTTAAGTACATTTTCAGTACATACAATTTCCAAAAATATTTATCTTCCAGATAGTTAATATTTAGTCAAAAATGCGTATATTTTTGGTTGTGTCTTAGACAGTTTTATTCTCGAAAACCACCAGCAGTGGTACCTGAGAGAATAGAAAAGTTTACAACTATATATCTAGTGAATAACGAGATGGAGATGGAGGGAATGCACGTTGATTCTTAAAGTTCACACATAAACACTTGGAAAATATATCAAGAAATACAGATATTACATACAAATCGTTGTGATACAATTTTTTAGGAATAAGTTGAGATCGATCGTGCGTTAAAAACTTCACATTTAAACATAAAATGAGACTCCTCTGCAATTGCAGGAGAATTGCATAATGGATAAATTCTTTCTTCTCTGGGTACACCAATCCAGTGGTCAGTTTCAATCAGAAGGTTATGATTTGAAGTTCTGAATTTTAAAACCGGTTTCAAACTTTGGAATTGGTTTAAGGTAATGATAAAAATCGCCCTTAGGTATTAATGAAATATTCTGCCTCCAATTTTGAATGATCTGGTCTTGTAGAATTCTTTCAACATTTAGATTAACCATGGGCTGGTGCATTCTGACGGCTTTTTTGATAACATATCTTTGACCAACATTTTGCAAAATATGTTTTATGACATTTACCCAAGGATATTCGTTATACTTAATTTCAGAGTCTAGGGGTCTGCATATTTATATCCTTTTCTGCATATTTTACCATATTCCCACTTCCCAAACAGTGTCAAAAGCCTTTCAAAAATCAATAAATGCACAATATAGTGTTTTCTTTAAAAGTTTTAGGTAAAGCATGAGCAAATGAAGAACGAGTTTTTTATCATCCGTTGTTTTCAAAATCCTGCCTGTATGGACCTCGAGAAAATTAGTTAGCCGTATGTTTAGAATTCTCGTAAATAACTGATCAATCATGAGCGGTATTGGGTATTGTAAGTCTATTTTTCGCTCTATTTATGTGTAGCGTAGGTAAGCACGTGCGAGATGCTGTTGGCGAACTGACTGTAAGATAATGTGGTTTAGTTGTTCAGTGTCAATGTTATGAAATAATCGTACAGGCTTGGATTCATCGAACTTTGGGGGATTTGGACAATGACGGTAATCTGGTGTAAAACATTGGCCGTAGCAGAATTTTCTACTGACTTCAACGTAAAGGCGATTGGACAATGTGCATCTTGATATAAAGGTGAGAATTCCAAGACTTCAAGGTCAGTAAATAGGGGAAGACATTTGGGAGAGGCAATTATATTATCTATAACATTGGTATCTTTACATATTGTTTTCCATACAAGTTTATCTTTACTAACTTTACCGTTGTATATAAACTTTAACATATTAATATTTTTACACAATTGCCTCATTTGCATAAAAAATAGTAACTGTTTCATGGTCTTCTGTGCTTTGTACATGGGGCATAATTAAAGGTCACGTGCAACCAAAAATTAAAAAATAATTGAAACACAATTATCACTTATTCGTGACATATAATATACATTGCTGATTATGAAAAAACATATAAACAAAATTATAAGCGTACAATCTCAAATCAAAAGTGTAATATTTTGTACTTTGGTTTACTTCCCAAAAAAACAAAGCAGCCGAGATACCCACCCCAGTCAGAGCGGGTGGGTGTACACTGAAGTGTAACGGCTGGTTCATTTGCCGCTGCCCTCACGGCTCATTGTGTGTGTGTATATATAGAGATTTTGGGTTTTGTAAATACATGCTCATTTTTTGTGTATAACATTTTGCAATCAACAGACATCATAACATGTCATGTGTACAAGTATCACACCTGCCTGTCTGTGTAATTACATAATGTGACAGATACCAAACTCGGGCTATAAATCAATGCGTTTTATTTATGGTGTATAGCCTGATAGGTGTTAAGTTCAAATTGCATGTGGTCAGTGATCGAAGTTGTGTATTGAATATTGTAATTAGCAGACAGGCATGCAGACACATAGGTGTCAATAAAACAGACATTGAGTTTAGTCTGTGACAACGACATATCTATATCACAGTTAAAAATTCTGTCAACGCTAAATAACATTGCTTTTAAGTATCGAACTGAGAAAGTGACTCGGTAAGAAGAACGATCGGTGAAATAGACAAATGTAATTCTATAAACAGTTAAATCGGTAATCTACTGTCATAACTTATAAAAAGCTCGCGCGTGTGAAATATCAACAAAACATTAGAAAAATAGCTCACACCAAAGCCTTCACCGAGTATTCACCGGACAACCCACTTCAGAGATGTGCGAACCTATTTCACTGCTCATGTGCTATGAGCGCAACCCGGCGCAGCGCAGCCCACCTTTTGAAACCAGTTTTCCCTCAAGCGCTGCGGGAAAATTAGTGAATCGTTCGAACTCCGATTTCGCGCGGGGTTTTTTCATCGCGTTATTTTTCAACTTTATAAGTAAGTTGAATTTGCATTTTTGATGATTTGTTTCGGTAAGTCCATACTGAAAAGTATCAGAATCTGCAAAGTTGTGTTTTACGTTACATGTGACCTTTGATTTGTCAAATTCATCATTTTTGATGTAAACTAGGTCAAATTCTTTCAAATTATATTCATCTCACATATTACTAGTTCTTGAATCAATATCACCACGTAGGGTAACACGAGGGTTATTTGGTAGGTATTTCATAACCGACTTTTCAATTCCATAGAATGTATCAGCAGTTGCATGTTTAGAACCTTCAGGAGCTATGTAAACAACACCGAGGTACATATCTTGGTCTATACCAAACAAAACTTTATTTAATCTAATACACAGTACATAATTACAACTGTCTTTTACCTGTGATATATATTCTTTATATTTGTCTCTAACAATACCCAAATCGACACTTTTGTGTTTAGGATTCGCTGAAGCGTCCTCGGAACCTGGGTGTTGCGATTGAGACAATGCAATTATTTCTGTTAGTGTGCTGTAATAGTGCATTCTGCACATGGTACTGATACGGGTGTGAAACAGATGACATATGTTTGTCAGAGGACATATGGGATAACTGTACCATTTGGTTGTGATCAAAATTATTAATGTGTCAAAGAGGTCCTGAAAGACATCTACTTGTCAATTCGTCAGTTATGTTAAGTATTGTTCCGTCATGTCATGCATGATGTCAGACGCAATGAACCTTTTTTTCTGGTGTAGATAATGTTCGATTTTACACTCTGATTTTAATAATCATGCATATTAACGTGGAACTTTCGATAAAGTCAAATCGCGCAACACTATCAGACCCATACCCACCAGATAATGGAACTTACAAGGAAACATTCTTTCACCTACCTTCTTCAATTATAAACACCATATTCCCGGAAATATTGACAAAATCTGAACAGAAAATGACAAGTTCTTCTGGACCTCATTAAACTATGATAACTATTAGAATTCCAAAATGCAAAGGCACATGCAACACCATACCAACAAATTACACCTTAACAACGAAGAAATCTCGTTAGAAAAGAAGCACAATTCCTCTGTGTAACTTTTGACCCACATCTCGAATGGACACCCACATTCATAACCTGGTTAAGACATCACAAATCAAAAGCACACGTTTACAAACTGACCAATAACTCAAAGTAAACATTTGTAAAATACCTCATACAAAAACCAATTAACGAAACCTAT